ACTCTGCTTTTGTGGTGAGAATTAGGCTAAGCAATCCTGATGGATGTGATTCCCAGTGAGGCCAGGTTAGCCCAGCCAATGCTCGGCAAACTGGACAGCATAAGGGAGGCTACCCTGCACCAGCCAAACTCGGATGGGATCAGCTGAATCCAGCTTGAACTAGCCGAGCCCAGTTTAGGCCAGAGAGCTCAGCCTGGATCCCTTGAGCGCAGCCAGGATTAGCAGAGTTCCCAGTGCAACAGCTGAGTCTGGGGCAGAGCTGTGGAGACTAGCCTGGATCAGGATTAGCCCAGGTAGGAGCAGCCAAACCTAATCTAGACCAGAAGCGATCAACCCAGATTAGCTGAGCCCAACCTGGATCAGCCAAGCCTAGGCAGGAGCAGCTGTGCTCAGTATCAGCCAAGCCCACTCTTGGTCAGATCATCACTGGATCAGATCATCATCCTAGCTTAGGTTTGAGAAAAACAAACATTTTCAGCCTCTATTGTATGGTAATTGTCCCAGTGCTGATAGAAGGCTTCCTGGGAACTCTTGGGGCTTTGTGTGTCCCCACAGTTTCCTTGTGTGTCTTCTGTGCTGCCAAACTGGCTCCAGAGCCCAACTGCCAGGACTCTAACTCAGATTCCAATGCTCCCTCCAAGAGGAGGAGGCTCTAGCTCTCAGGCGGGAATGGAAGAGACCAGAGAGTAAGTGACTCCAGAAGGGAGGGGACAGTGAGAGGGTTCTGACTTGGGTGGACAGCTTAAAACAGGAGTTCCTTAAAAAGAAAAAAAATTAAGAGTCTAAATTGTAGGCTTTGATATAGCACAGTTAGAAGAGTGGCTTTGCCCCATGCTTGAGCTCCCTATAATTTCATCACAAGAGGCCAAAGCAGGAGGAACACAAGTTCAAGGTCATCTTTGAGGCTACATATTGAATTTGAAGCTAGTCTGGGATACATACATAAGACCTTGTCTCAAACAACACAAAACAAAACAAAAAACAAACTGAAGAACCAAACAAAAACGAAACAAAAGCCCCAGTTCTATCTGCAGAATCCAAAGAATAAAATAGTTCAACGCGGCATTGCAAACAACAGTCCCTTCTCCCTTTCTAGACATAGGAATTTAAACAAAAATAAAAGACAAACAAGCAAACAAAAATGGCTATCAGCCAGGCATGATGGCACATGCCATTCATCCCAGCACTGGGGAGGCAGAGGCAGGAGGATCTCTATGAGTTCAACACCGGCTTGTTTTACATGGCAAGTTTCAGGCCAGATAGGGCCACACTGTGAGACCTTGTCTCAAAAGCAGAAACAAAAGCAAAAATCAGCTTTCAAGGGCTGCGGCTGTAGCTTCTTGGAAAAGGCAGGAATTACCCCACTCACCCAGCATGCTTGCAGCCTTGCGTTCAAACTTCAGTACCGAAAAAACAAGCACGCCCAACTATATCTAATCTCTCCCAAGTTGTACAACTAAGTCCTCACTTCCCTCCATGTAGCTCATTCACCCCCTCTCCCCCCATACCTGCCCCCTCTCTGACCCTGCCCCCAGCCCTGGACCCTGGAGTCATGATTTAGTGAGACTGATATTCACTTTTCATTTGTTTCTGTGGCTTTGAAACTGCTCTTCATCGTAGAACTATGCTGACTGCTCCACCCTCTTCTATTTTTTTGTCCTTTCCCTCCATGAGTTTCCTAATAACGCCATGATCCCCAAGGGTGGGGTGGGGTGGACTGGGAAAGGCATGCACTCTTCATCCACCTCCATCCTCATCCTGGGAGAGAGACAGAGACAGATAGGTAGAGACAGAGAAATCCAGAGAGGCCCTACCCTTCCAGGATCTGAAGAAGTCAAAGTGTTAAGGATAGTAAGATCGCAGTTAGCTCTCGTTGCCAGGGAGGGCAAGGCCTGTGGGCTCTCAGTAGGACTTCCTTCTGCTACTCAGTGCTTTCTGTTGCTGTGAGAAAACACCATGACCAAGGCTATTTACAGAAGAAATAATTTATTTGAACTTATGGTTTAAGAGAGTTCGGAGTCCATGATGGTGGAGTGAAGGGAGTACTGGGGTGCCTGAAACAGCAAGCTGAGAGCTCACATCTTGAATCCAAACAGGAAGCTTTGAGCCCAGTCAGGAAGCCTAGAGAGTGACCTTCAAATGGTGTGTCTTTAAGCTCTTAAAGCCAGCTTCCAGTGAAATACTTTCTCCAACAAAGCCTCCCCAAACAACACTACCCACTGGGACCAGATATCCAAGTATCTGAGCCTAAGAGGGACATTTCATTCAAGTCACCACAGCCAGGAGCCTGATTTGCTCTATGCCTATACCCCAGATCAGAGCCTGCCATCAGACACCTTTCTCTTGGCAGCTTCCTTGGGGGTCTTGCTATCCCATTTCAATGGGACTCATTCTGGAATTGGTCAGGCTTCTCCTTCCCACTTGGCTTCTCCAGCATCAACAGGCAGACCGGGGTGCATGGTGGGGTTCAATGCTAGAGTCCTTTCTGAATGAAGAAGCTGCGAAGTGGTCCAGGGAGATGGCTCAGCAGGTGAGAGCTTTTGCCGTGCAGACACGAGGCCCCTGAGTTTGAATTCCAAGTACCCAAGCAAAAAAACCAAACGAAACCAAACCAAACTAAAACAGGCTCTGCTGTTGCAACTCTTAGTGCTGGGGTAGATATAGACAGATAGCTGGGGCATCCTGGCAGCCAGCACAGCTGCGGGCTCAGCAAGAGACCCTGCCTCTGAGAAATAAGGTGGAGAGTGACTAAGGACACCCAACATCCCCCTCTGGCTTCTGTGCGTGCATCTCTCTCTCTCTCTCTCTCTCTCTCTCTCTCTCTCTCACACACACACACACACACACAGAGGGTTCTACAAACTTTCTTCAGTTTGGACAGGGTGAAGAACCTCTTTGTTGTGTGTGCCTGTGTGTGGAAGTCCGGACTGTAGGACACCCTACCCCCAAGCCCTGTGCATGGGAGAGTTGAGGGATAAGGGATGGTGGGAGCCGAGGCCCTGTGACCAGCATGCAGAGGTCTAGGGTTTAAAGGACGATGAGATATTACTCAAAGTTACAGGGTTTAAGAGTAATGGAAGCTTCTTTAGACAGAAAACAAAACAAAAAAAAAACAAAACAAACCTGTCCACTGAGGCTTGTAGTGTTCTTCATTCTCATCAAAGACTGGATCAACTTTGTTCTTGGTGGGTAGACACATAATGGTTTGTGTACACAAGGGGCTATTACTAAGCAAGGAAAAATAGGAAATTATTAACATGCACATCAGCATAACGGCACCCCAAATTCATCATGTCAAGTGAAAGGAGTGAAATACAGAATCTACACTCCAAGACTGCATTTATGTGACTTTCGGGGGCGGGGGTGGGAGGGAAAGGGAAAGTGCTGGACAGGAAGCAGATGGGCGGCTGTAGGAAGAGGCAGCTACGCAGCAGCAGAGGTGGGGTGTTTTGGGGTGAATGAAGTGTTTTATCCATTGATCACTGGAGTGGTTACATGGCTCTAAGAATTTGCCAGAATTCTTAGTTATACAATGAAGAAAAACTATATATGTAGATATATTTACACATGTACATAAGACTGCCACAAACATGCAAAAAATAATGATGAAAAGATATAGTTGGGGCTGGGGACATTCCCCAGTTGGTATAGTATTCTTCTGGCATGCATCCTTCACTGTGTCAATGGACTGTGGTGATACAGGCCTGTGAGTCCAGCTCTAAGGAGGTAGAGACAGGAAGATCAGAAGTTCAAGGTCCTCCTTGGCTATATAGCCAGTGAGTTTGAGGTCAACCAGAGCTAATGTGGGATGATGTTCTGGGCAGAGCATAGTTCGTGTGTTTATCATGACCCTATAACAGGAAGGTCAGCAGAGGGAGAAGGAGGAGGAGCAGAGAGAGGGTCAGAGGGGAGAGAGCAGAGCTGAGGTCCAGGGTCTGAACCCAGGGTAAATCTGAACAACGTGCTTTATTATATGTGTGGCCTGCCTGCTTCAGAGGCTGTAAAGATGAGGGCTAGCATGTCTGCTTTGCTGTTTTGTTTTAGGCAGGGTCTTACTCTGTAGCCCATGAATATCTGAAACTCATTATGTAGCCCAGGCTAGCCTGAGCCAGGAATTTCTTGAACAGCCCAGACTGGCTTTGATCTTCCTACTTCCTAGCTTCTTCTTTGCTGGAGCTTGACCTCAGGGCCTCCTGCATACTCGGCAAGCTCTCTACCTCAGCAAGCCCAAGGGCCAGCACTCAGGCACATTCCGTGGGTATGTAAACACGATGGAGAGGGTCTCCCCATCACACCTGCCTCCCACCACGCTCTTGAATTGGGGCCATTTCCCCTGACCTAAGGGCAAATCACCCAGCGATGAAACTGATTCCAAGCTGCCTCTGCGTATGGCCGCTTCCATCTCATCTGCAAAACGGAACCACAGCCCACAATTTCCCGGGCCCTGTGGGGGTGCTGACTTTCACGGCTGACCACAGCAGGCCGGGCTTGAATTCCTCTCCCATCCTTTTCATTCATTCACTTATTTATTGGCATGTATGCCCCATGCGATATTTGGTGCCACCGTATTACACATCAAATACTTCACTAGAAAAAACATGTTTGTTTATCTGGATTTCAGGTTAAACTGGCATCAGTTGTTGCCTCCAGGGGACACAGATGGGTGATAGGATGCAGGGTGGAACACCCTGGAGGGTGTATCGTTTGGGTTTGACCTGGTATCTCACCTCCTCCAGGCAGCCTCCTGGCTTGTGGGCTTCACCACTCCCTCAGTCCCAGCTCAGGGCTGCCAGCCCATGTTCTGACTTGGAGACTCAGTCCTTGGCTCCAGGCAGCTGCTGAGGTGCCTCGGAGTCATTTCTTGTGTGTGAAAACAGGGCTGGGTGCCACGGTACCGCCAGCGGGGACAGCGTGCATGGTGGGTCTTCCTTTCCTGGCTGGTGGCTGAGTGGCAGCGTTTGCTCTTACATAATCGGTCTCTCTCCTCCTTCTTTTTCCAGAGCTAGACTTCACACTGAGCAGCTGCAGTCGGAGAAACCAGAGAAAGCGCCACCCAGCCCCAGATTCCAAGAGGCCTGCTGGGGACTCCCTTCTCTTCCTCCTCCTCCTCTTCCTCCTCCTCCGAAGACCCTAAAGCCACTATCTCACATCAGCTCCTGAGCTGTAATGGGACTGGCAGCCACCGCCCCCTGGCTGTCCTCTGCCCTGTCAAGCAGATAGGGCTGACAGGGTGGTAGCTACCCCAGGAGTACCTGCTCCTCAGCCTGGGCCAGCCCTTCCTGGACTTGGTGGCTACCTTTGCTGACCTGAGGCCATGTAGGCCCTAGCTCAAGCCTCTGGACAGACTGCTGGGGACAGTGCCTCTGTTCTCAGGGGCCACCCAGTACACCATCATGCCCTGGGGACTCTCCTGGCTGTACTGTGAGTACTGGGGGTGGGGGGTTTGTACCTGGGGATCCTGTCCTGGCAGGCCTCAGTGGGTGGCTGGGTGGTTCTACCGTAACCATAGCAACCAGGGCAGCTCTTGCTGGTAAGAAGTTGAGATGTTTCCCAGAAGGGTTGCAGGCAGCCTCAGAGGTAGGGGAATCCTTGGCCACCCTCCGCCCTGTCTGCCTCTGACCTCAGGTTCAGGTGTATAACCTGAGTGGGCACAGCCGGTGCAGGATGGGGCAGGCACTGGGGTGGACGGCAGCGTCTCACCTCTGCAGTTTCATTGGCTCCGGGGAGCAGGGTGGGGACAGAGGTGGTAGAGAGAGGATTTCCATCTTCCTGGGTGTGGCTGGTGGGGGGTAGGGAAGGCACAGCCCATGAGAAAGAGGAGGCCTGGAGAGGGGAGCCAGTTCCCCTAGAGCCCTCCCTCTGCAACAGGTCAGAATCAAAAAGCAGAAAGAAAACAATGTCCCTGGTTGAAAAAAAAAAAAAAAAAAAGTTGAAATGAGGACAGAAATCAGGAAAGGGTGTGGTGGCGTGTGCCAGGCTGAGACCCTCACGGACTGTAAGACTCAGTGGCAGCCGGGGGCTCTTGGAGAGTCATTATCATGACAGGGACCTCACCTTGCTCCTCTCCTCCCCACTGCCAGGTGAAATTAGGCATTCAGGGCAGGGACTGGAAGCCACAAGGCTTCAACCTATTCTACAGGCTGACATCAGTCAGTGTGGATGGAGGTGACAAGCCTCACTTATCCCTATAGAAATGGCTACCCTTGTTGGGGGGCACAGAAAGAAGGGGGCACCCCTTCCCTCCCCACCAGCGTGTAGGCCAGGGAGAGCCTTCTACCTCAGCGTGTGCTTCCACCTCCTCCTTCTCATCTCTGGAGGGAGGAGGTGACAGGAAAGTCTCCTGACCAGGGTCAGCAGGACACTGGCTGTGTGCTCCTGGCATGCAAAGCATGTGGGTGACAGCTAGTCTTGAGCTTTCAACCGTGCTGTCCCTCCCTGGCCCACAGTTTCCCCTGCTGGAGGCAGCAGGAGATACACTTACAGTTAATTTGTGGCTTGGCTGCAAGTGTGTCTAATCTAGGGGAAGGCTGTCCAGTCACCTCTGGACAGGCTTTGCAGGGGCAGCCTGCTCGCCTCTCATGCCAGACAGCCTACACGTCTGCCATGCCAGGCTCGGGTGCTATGCTTTTGCCCTCTCTTGCTGTGACAACATTCCATGACCAGAAGCAACATGGTGAGGAAAGGGTTTTATTTCAGCTTAGTTGTAGCTGGTCATGAAGGAAGTCAGGGTGGGAACTCAAGTGGAGGCCGTGAGGAATGCTGCTTACTGGCTTGCTGTCCATGGCTTGATCAGCCTGCTTTCTTATGCTACCCAGAACTTCCAGCCCACCCACATCAAGCATTAACCAAGAAAATGCCACAGAGTACAGGCGACCTGATGAAGGAAGGCATTTTCTCAATATAGGTTCCTCGTCCCAGATAACACTAGCTGGTGTCAACTTGGCAAACAAAACAAACAAACAAACAAACAAACAAACAAACAAAGAAAAACAAAAACAAAAAAACCCAACCAGCACAGCCCTGAGTCCTAACTTGAGGACACATTTGGTAAAGCCAAAGGCCCTACAAAGGAACATGGTACCTGAGGGTGGGACTTGGTTGAGTATCAGGCTGTAGTAACTGCTGACAAGAAGAAGACCCTTTATGGAAAAAGCCCTTCACCCCCAAAGACAGAATTTTTTGTTTGTTTTGTTTTTGTTTTTCAAGACAGGGTTTGTCTGTGTAGCCTTGACTGTCCTAGACTTGCTTTGTAGACCAGGCTGGCCTCAAACTCGCAGAGATCCGCCTGCTCTGCCTCCCAGAGTGCTGGGATTACAGGAGTGCACCACCGCAGCTGGCATTTTTTTTTCTCTTAATGTACAATCCTGTGGACCAGATGTAGCTATTGTGACAGCAGTTTTGCAGGTGTCACTCGGGTCTACAGTTCCCAGTGGCTGTTGTCTCAACCAGGAGTGTGCTGTGCAAAGGCTCCTTTCTCTACCTGCTGGATCTGAAATGTGGGGCAGAGCTGGGCCACCTGAACCTCTGCAAACCCGGGGGGGGGGTATTCAGATGCCTGCTCTCATTTCTATTCCCACCTCTCTCGCCTCAGCCGAGAAGCTCAGTCCCCAAAGTCATGCTGTAGCTACAGCTTTAGTTCTCCATCCTCCCCAAGACTCTATGTCCTGGCCAGATGATGAGCGATGCAGGGTCCTGGAGGGGACATCCGTGGTGGAGAGAGAACAGGCGCAAAAACCTCAGCTGCTTCAGGAGTGGGCCGTCGAAGTGTGGATTTGTAAGGCTTGGTGAAGTAGGGACCAAAGGCAAGCCTGTATCAAGGGGCCCAGCACTGTGCTTGCTTATGTATGTATGTATGTATTTATTTATTTACTATTTTCTTTACATTTTATCTATTTTGTGTGGGAGGGGGTCTGTGTGCCATGGCATCTTTCACCTTCGTGGAAGTCAAAGGACAGTTTACAAAAGTTGTTCTCTCCTCCTACAATGTGGTTCCTGGGGACCGGGTCATCGGGCTTGGTGGCAAGGCCCTTCACCCACTAAGCCATCTTGCCGGCAGCCTAACACTGGTTGTGTTTCTTTGTTCCTTCTGCCCAATACTGTGTTAGGTGCATGGGAAAGACTGGTTCTTGTGAACTTGCCTCCTTGCAAGGAAGCGGTTGTCAGAGTTCTGCAGGCGGGGAGGGAGGGCAGTAGCTCTGGCTCCCACGGAGTGCAGAGCCTGGGTAGACAGGTTAACAGATAGTGCTTGGCCTAGCAAGGGCAACAAGCAGGGTGGGCCTGGAGAAGGGGAGGGAAGCTAAGAGGATGCAGGGCCCAGGCCATCGGAGATGCAAAGACAAAAAGTCTTCAAGGTGGCAGGAAATGGGTAGGGAGAAACCCAGGTAGTGACGTCAGCCCGTAACAGATTAGGGAGGTAACTCAGCCTGCCTTGTTGTCCCGACCAAAAGGAAAAGGAAAGAAGAAAAGACAAAGGGTAGTTATTGGTTTTGACAACACAACACTAGATGCTAAGCTGGGCATGGTGACGCACCTTCTGTCCCAGGAAGAAGAGGCAGGTGCATCTCTGAGTGCAAGCCAGTCTGGTCTACTGCGAAGTTCCAGGCCAGCCAAGGCTATGTAGTGAGAGATTATGTTTCAAAAACAAAAACCGCCGAGCATGGTGGCGCACGCCTGTAATCCCAACACTCAGGGAGGCAGAGGCAGGCAGATCCGTTTGAATTCGAGGCCAGCCTGGTCTACAAAGTGAGTCCAGGACAGTCAAGGCTACACGGAGAAACCTTGTTTTGAAAAACAAACAAACAAGAAAACCAAACCAACCAACCAACAACAACAAAGTGACTAGAGAACATTAAAAAATGACCTTGAATGTAAGGATGAGTGTAATAGTCTCCCACGGGTGTTTGGCAATATTTATTTGCATCTCCTTTTCTAATGCACAATCAGTTAAAACTGAAGTTACCCTATGCACCGTTGGTATTGTTGGCTTATGCTTCCTTACAAAGCTCAATAAGCATCTTTGATTAACCCCCATAACATACACCACCACGAGCTGCCTCCCCATAAACAAACAAACAAGTAAATAAACAAATAATTAAATCTTTTTTGTTTTGTTTTGTTTTTGAGACAGGGTTTCTCTGTGTAGCCCTGGCTGTCCTCAAACAAACTAACAGAGATCCACCTACCTCTGCCTCCTGAGTGCGGGCATTACAGGCGTGCACTACCATGCCTGGATTAAATTAATAAATCTCTTAAAAGAATAATGGTGCCACTTCAGTCTTTGTAAAATTTTCCTGTTTTTTCCCCCCCCCTAGTTTATGAGTTTAGTGGGTCAAAGCCTCAGCGGGCCAAAGGTTGTAGAGTTTAAATCCATTTCATTATTAAGTGGGCCAAATGTATTTCCAGGCTCATAACTCTCTTGGCAGCATCAGGATTATTAAAGTGAAATCATCTCATAATAAAACCCTTTTTATTTCCTTGCCCTTGGCCGGCTTTGTGACTGTTTCTCTGGCTACTGATTGCATTCAGTTGTTTTCATTTGAACTTATTTCTCTTACTAGTGAGGTTGGCCCTTTGGGTATGTCTTGATTTTTCATGTTTCTTTCATCCACTTGACCCCTATTCAGTTATTGTAAATTCTCTCAAATCTTTCTGTTCAAGTGTACAAATCCCAAGAGCTGTTTTTGAGCCCACACTGACACCTAGTGGTGATGGTTGGTACTGTTTCAAGTCTACCCATTATTTGTTGTTTGTATCAACTGTACTGTTTAGCATCCCAGAACCATCAGACTGGAAGGAGCTACAGACCTGCTGAAACTTCTAATAGAGAAGAATACCAAGGTCATATCAGTAACAGAAGAAAGTCTCTGGGTTGCCAAAAAAGCCATTTTTGTATCAGGAACTAGAATATGCCCGCAAAACTCAGAATGGAAAATCAAGCAACAGCTTTGAAAACCTGTCACCCCAGACCAGGAGCTGAGCTGCCCTGGAACCAGGACGGTGTAATTATCCCACAAAGCAGAAGCTAGGGGAGATTGGAGACCAGAATTTGTATGTCTCCCTGCTAACCAGGGGTAGGGTGTGATTGCTGTTCCTTAGGGCCCTGGCCTCCTGCCTTTCCCCTCAGTACTTGTCACCCCTGAAAACGTGAAGGTTGCTGCAGCTCTGTGTACCAGGAGGAGTACAGACGCTCACGGTGCCTGGCGCTCATGGGCTCGCATTGGCTGTGTCCCACAGGTCTTGGGGTCCTTCTTGGCGTGGCTTTGGGGAATGAGAACTTGGAGATGTGGACTCTGGCCCAGGATAAGGAGTGTGATCTCACAGGCTACCTTCGGGTCAAGCTGCAGTACAAGAACCGGCTTCAGTACATGGTAACCAGAAAAGTACCAAGTGGGTCCCTATCCCCAAGCCCCAAGGCTCAGCTGGAGCAGCGCTCACTCCCACCTCAGGTCCACGTCAGCCCCGAGGTTGCAGGAACTCCCTCCACCTTTCTCCACCACATAACCCTGTGTGTCCATGTGTCTCCCGCCACCATCCCCCTCCTCCTCCCTAGCTGACCTGTTCATCTACTTCATCCTGTAACTCGGGAAAGGCCTCCAGGGACTCATTGGGGGAATCTTACGTACTTATTAGCAGAAGAGACAGAGACCTTCCCGGCAGAAAATTTGGTTTTCTTTTTTCTTTTTTGGAAGCTGCACATGCTCAGGTGGTGTCTCGGGGCTTTCTACATCGCTGTTGTTTTTTGGTTTGTTTGTTTTTGTTTTTCTCTTTCTCTTTTTGAGATGTGCGTATCCCAGGCAAGCCTTGAACTTATTATGTATAGAAGATGAACCTGAGGGTCTAATCCTCTTGCTTCTGCTTTCGGAGGGGCTAGGATCACAGACGGTGCCACTGTGCCTGGATCTCGCGGTGCTGAGGCCTTATGCAAAGCCGGGGCCTTGTCTGTGCCAGGCAAGCACCCTACCATCCGGGCTACGGCTCCAGCCCTTGTTTTGCCTTTTCCCACCCAGGGTCTCATCATGTTGCACAGGCTGGCTTTGAACTTGAGATCCTCCTGCATCAGCCTCCCAAGTGCACACACCCCGCTCTGTAGGATTATCTCCGAGAATGTCGTTATGGAGATGTAATTCATATACCATACAACCCACTAACTGAAAGCGTACAACGTGGGCTGGGGAGCTGGCTCAGTGAGTAAAAGCACTCGCTTCACAAGCCGGGACGACCTGAGTTTAATTCCCGGAACTCGCACAAAGATGGAAGGAAAGAGAACCAACTCCTGAAAGTTATCCTTTGACCTCCACATCAGTGCTGAGGTGTACATGCCTGCACACACACACACACACACACACACACACACAATTAATAGTAACAATTAACAATAAGGTGTCTGACTCATTGGTGTCTAGCGTGTTCTCAGAGCTGTGCAAAGGTTACCTTTATAAGTGTCAGATGAACCATATTCCCCTCTTTCAGAGTACCCTGACTTCTTGAAATTCCTAGGTTTATACTCTAGGCCTGAAAACTCAGCCTTCACAGACCTGTGTATCTGATTTCAGCCTCCCTTTGTCCCAGGGGAAAGTAAGCTGTCTTTTAGTCCAGTTGCCCAGAGCTGTCTTCTCAATAGAGAAACTGTCTGTTGTCACCCTGCTGGCTGGGTTCCTCCCTTGGGGGTCCTGTCTAAACAGTTTCTGCCTCAGATCTCATCGTTTGTTCCTGTTCCTCCCCAGAAACATTACTTCCCCATCAACTACAGGATCGCCGTGCCTTATGAGGGGGTTCTCAGAGTCGCCAACATCACAAGGCTGGTGAGGATCCCTCCCGGGACGGGGAGCCGCTGCCCTCCATGATGGCCCAGAAGCCTGTGGGTCTCGGCAGGCTGACCAGGGGTCTTTCCCTAGCCATTCTGGCAAGCCCTGCCACTAACCTAGGCCCAAGGTTGTCTGCTGGCCATGGTGGGTGACTTGCGGTTGCTCCCACGCAGTGGCAGGTCTGTGGGGTAGGGGAGCCGTCACAACCCAAAGGCCTATGCTTGCATTTCAGTGATGTTTCCTGTCCCTGCAGCAGAAGGCCCGGGTGAGTGAGCGGGAGCTGAAGTACCTGTGGGTCTTGGTGAGTCTCAATGCCACCGAGTCTGTGCTGGACGTGCTGCTCGAGGGCCACCCATCCTGGAAGTATCTGCAGGAGGTTCAGACATTGCTGGAGAACGTTCATCGGAGCCTCATGGTGAGCTGTGCGCACGCATGTGTGGGTCTGACAGGGGCAGGCAGAGGGCTGGGAAGGGAAAGTTCTGCCATGTGCTGAGGATAAGGGAGGCATGAGGGATGGGACAGGAGGAACTTGGGGCCTTGTTTCAGGATTACATGTGCTCTCTCCCTTTTGTTTTGTTTTGTTTTTTTTTTAACTTGAAATATTTTTATTATTTTTTTATATTTTTATTTTATAACCCATTGAGTCCAATTAGTGCACCAACTGTTCGTTAAAAATGCTGGCTTGACCTTGTATAGAGCTCGTGCAGGTAATCAGAGCTTCAGTGAGTTCATGGGTGTATGGAGCATGTCATCTCCATAAGACAGCATTATTTTTTTAAATTTATATATATATAGATATATAGAGATATATTTTTTTTTTCTGTAGACATTGCCATTGCCACATAATCCCTTGAAATCTCCCAGATGAAATCAAGAGCTTTAAAAAAAAAATTTAAGTTTAATCACTTCACGGCCTGATCCCAGCAAGACAGCATTATTTATTTGTTTGTTTTGAGACACAGTTTCACTGTGAAGCCCTGTCTGGCCTATAACCACATGGTGGTCCACAACTATCTATAATGAGATCTGGCCTGAGGTGTAGAAAAAAAAAATGTAAGGGAAAAGAGATAGCGTGGCAGGACTGTAACCCCAGCATTCTGGAGGCTGAGGAGGAAAGATGGTAATTAAGTTCGAGGCCAGTCTGGGCTATACATAGTGAGTTCCTGCATCAAAAGCAAACCCAAAAGCCATCTGGTCAACCAGCCAAAAATCTGCCCAGTTGTAAAGTGACGGACATAATCACATGTCCCTACCTCCTCAGGCCCTTGGTGTGCACCTGCTGGGTCACACTTGCCTTGCTCAGCCAGCTGCCTGCCCTCCCCAGCCTGTAGCCAGATCATCTGACATTGAGGACTTCTGATGATGAAAGGGCTTGGGGACAGGCGACTGTTTTTGCAGCTGTCTGGAACCACTCCTGGGATGGTTCCCCAGTTCCTGCTAAGAAGGTCACAGGAATTTGCCCTTTTGTGCTCATGGGCAAGATGGGTGCCTTGGGCAAGATGGGTGTTTGGGGCAATCGGGTGCCCTTGGCAAGCTTATGTGGCTTGAGGAAGAGACCTTTTCTGCCTTTGTTTTACCCAAAGAACAGATTCCTAAAGACTCATAGGATCGAGGCTGGGGAGGAGAGGGTGAGGCCTCAGTCCTCTGACCTGGTCCTGGGCTCCCTGACTGAAGCATATACAGATGGTTTTATTATTCAGATGTAGCCAGGTCTGGCCCTTCCTCCTCCCCTCCCCCATGCTGGGTGTCGAGCCGGCACACCTGGTACTCCCTCTACCTCTGAGCTAGACCCCAGCTCTGCACCTCAAAATAGGGTTTCTCTGTGTAGCCTTGGCTATCCTGGAACTCAAGCTATAGACCAGGATAGCCTCGAACTCACAGAGATCTGTCTGCCTCTGCCTCCCGGGTGCTGAGATTAAAGGCAGGCACCACCACTGCCCAGCTTTTGGCCGGCTTCTCATCTCTCTTCTTCCCACACTGTTAAAAGGCTGTGACCTAGCTTTGAAGATGGATTTCACTTACCTTCTTTGATCATGGTAGTGTGATGTAAGAGGTCAGGTTCTGGAACACTAGCTCTGTTTCCAACAGTGTAACCTTGAACAAGTTGTTTAATTCCTGGGCTTGTAGGTTATCACTTGTAAAGGAAAGGATTGAAGCCTAAATCTTATCCATAAACATGGATTTGATGACCTTAGCCTATCCTCATCCACTGGAAGATGTCTAGATTCTGGGTTCTGCATTATTCTCGTCTTACTTCCCCACCCCAACTTGCTTGCATTGTTTCTTTAAGAAGCTTGGCCTGGAGCTGGCCAGATGGCTCAGAAGTTAATAGCACTGGCTGCTCTTCCAAAGGTCCTGAGTTCAATTCCAGCAACCACATGGTGGCTCACAACCATCTACAATGAGACCTGGTGCCCTCTTCTGGCATGCAGGTGTACATGCAAGCAAAACACTGTATACACAATAAATAAATAAAATTAAAAAAAAAAAAAAAAAAAGAAGAAGTCTGACCTGAGCCAGGCGGTGGTGGAGCACACCTGTAATTCTAGCATTTGGGGAAGCAGAGGCAGGTGGATCCTTGTGAGTTCAAGGCCAGCCTGGTCTACAAAGTGAGTCTGGGACAGCCAAGGCTACACAGAGAAACCCTGTATCAAAAAATAAACAAAACAAAAACAAAAAACAAACAAACAAACACACTCACACAAAAAACTTGGCCTGGGATGATGGCTCAGTGGTTAAAAGCACTTGCTGCTCTTGCAGAGAACCCTAGCATCCAAGCCAGCTGGCGCACAACTGAAGCTCAGAGGCAATCCAGCTGCTGTCCCCCACAGGTACTCATATACATGGAACACACACACACACACACACACATACACACTTCATATAAATAAGAAAAATAATTTAAGGAAAAGTCAACTAAAAACAAAAGTCTACTTCAGTGGAGATCAGTCATGGAGGCTGTGCTGAGGGGGAACGTGTTTTATTATGAAAAGCCCGTGGTTCTGACTCTTGTTAGTTTACGGCTCTGCGGTGTTAATTACGCTCATAGGGTTGTGCAGCACCCCTCCCCCCATTTCTGGCACTTTCCATCACCTCAAGCAGAAATTGTATACACAAAGCCGTCATTTCTCACCTTTTCCCTCCCCCAATAGCCTGTAATCTGTTTCTTCTCCCATTTTGTATTTGCTTTTTTTTTTTGGTACAGTTTCTAAGACGGATCATACCCCGTCTATCCTTTTGTGTCTGGCTTCTTGCACTCTGATAAAATTTTCAGTGGATAAACTTTATCCACTAATTTGGACAAAGCTGAAGAGACTCTAATCCCATGGGTGGCAGGCTGAGTGCGGCAGGAGGTTTGTAAGTTTGGGGCCAGCCTAGGCTACGTGTCTGGACCTTGTCCAAAACCCAAACAAGGACCAGGTGTAGAGGAGCAAGCTTGATCCCCAGCATTCAGGAAAGGCAGGTGGATTTCTGTGAGCTCGGGGCTAGTCTGGTCTACAGAGCAACATAGTGAGATCCTGTCTTGAAATAACAGTGGACAAAATAAAAAATACCACCCCCAAACCAAAAAGGAAAAAAAAAAAGTGGATTAATGGGCGTGGAATCCCAGGGTCACGTGGTGACACTGTGTTACACTTTTTGAGCTTTTTCCAGATTTTGTTCATTTGTTTGTAGGGTCAGAGTCTCATTTTGTGTCCAGGCTGGCTTGGGCTTAGGTCCCTCAGCTTCCGGAGTGAAAGGCTACAGGTATATGCCACCATGTCCAGCTTTAGACTGTTCTTCAGTTCTTGGAAGAATGTCTCCTGCTTGCTGTTTCTGACCTTGAGTGTCTCCTGGAGCAGCGGCCCTTGGTGGCGGTGACTGTCATGAGGCAAAGGGATAGATAGGTTTGGGGCATCTTCATTCTTTCTGGACAGGAACCGGGCTGGGGGCTGGGCCTCCTTTTTCTTCTAACATCCTCATTCTGCCTTTGGCCACAACTTTCCTAGGCTGCTGGAATAAATTAGCTCAAACCGGGTGTCTTAAGCCAAACTGTATTTTCTCATACTCCTGAGAACCGTAAGTCCAGAATCAAGATGTCACAGGTCTGATTTCCCCTGAAAGGTCCTTGCTTCACCCAGCCTTTGGTGCTGCTGCTCTGCCTCTGTCTCACTCTTCACATGGCTCCTGCCTGGTACCTCTCTGTCTTCATGACCTTTGACTACAAAGATCCTAGGGGTGAGATGTAAAGATTTGGTCTAACATGCATAAGGCCCTACGTCCTATCCCCAACACTGAGGCAGAAAAACATCAATTTTTTTCATTGGATTTACAACCCACCCTAAACACAAGGATGTAAACTTGAGAACATTAATCATGTCTACCCAAGTTTCCCAAAAGGGTCACATGACAGGTATTGAAGGGTAGAACTGAGGGTATTTTGGAGGGCCTGGCGCTCAAAGTTTAGCCCAGATGCTTTGCCTGGGTTATGGCTGCCTGTGGGAAGGTGGTCCTTTAGCTGAGGCCCTACCTTTCCCATGATGCCTCTCCAGTGGCCCTGGGCTTCCAGGGCCGACAGTATTCTCTACTCTGTCCTTTCTGTCCAGCTTTATGAGAAGGTATCTGAGCTTGGAGTCAAACGCTCCGCTCTGCCTGCATGCCTTAGGGTTCCTCACGAGGTTCTTCTCTATTCCCTTAGGTAGAGGGCTTTGTTTTCTGATGGGCAGTTTTCCCAAGTTGGAGGCTGGCCAGCATGCCTATGCTGGAGCAACAAGGAGGTCCCAGCTTCCTCCCTATCCTGGCCAGTGTGGTTATTTTCTGATGCTAGAGAAGGAGAAGCCTCTGTGTGGAGTGACAGCTGGTCACAGCCTTCTGGTCCGGGTTGAGACAACCCCAGGCTAGGCAGCCGCCATGGTTCTCACGTGGTCAGGTCCCTTTTAACTTGTCCTGATGGTTTCCTTCCTCCCAGGATGTGGAGATCGGGCCTCATGTGGAAGCCGTGATATCTCTTCTGAGTACCCCAGGCCTAAGCCTGAAGCTGGTGCGGCCCAAAGCCTTGCTGGACAACTGCTTCCGGGTCATGGAGCTGCTGTACTGCTCTTGCTGTAAGGGGCTTCCTGTGGGTGGGGCTGGCAGCTGAGGGCCAAGAGATCTGGGCCCGGGTTTGTGGACGGAGTCCACACTGTCTTGGGGATACCCTCTTTTCCTGACTGGCGGGCTGTTTCTGGGAGCTGAGTTGGGCCTTGAGTACCGGGACAAGAATAGGTGGGTTGGCTCTTCTGTCCTGCAGGGCTTTTCTGTATTTTTTTCTCCTTCCTGTCTCTTGCAGGTAAACAAAGCCCCATCCTAAAATGGCAAGACTGTGAGCTGCCGAGTCTCCATCCCCACAGTCCAGGGTCCTTGATGCAATGTGCAGCTGCCAAACTGTACCCTTTGCCTCGGCAGCCCCCCACCTCCCTGCCCAGTTCCCCAGGCTCAAGCCGTGGCCGGTTACCCTGAGTAGTCTGTGCGTGTGTGAGACCCTAGGTCGGGCCACTGGATGTTTTAGGAACTGGCCTGGGTCTGAGGCTTTCCTGGATGGTGGGTAGGTAGCTCTTTAGGAAAGACCTCCTGGGAAAGGCATTTTGCCTTCCTTAACACAACCAGGCCCAGCTTCCTGCCTTCGTACCTGTGGTATCACCTGGAGCCTCAGGGGGAGGGAGGGGGAAGACTCTGGAGGGGAAGGCCAGTTGCTCCCTCCACTTCCACCCGTGCCTGTGTGTGGCTGGTTGCGAAATCTGCAAGCACTACTGCCCCACAGGTGGGTGCCTGGCGACGGGGTGCCACACAGGTTTCGAGGCTCTCTGGGGCTTTCCAATTGTTCTGAATGTGGGGTGCGGGGCTGAGGACTGACCAAATGCCGTTATCTTGCCACAACAGCGCTCTTCCGGTCCCTTTTTCTATTAAAACAGCCACTTGTTTGGTTTGGCTTGCATCTGTGACGGTAAACCTGGAGGGGCTGAGTTCTGGGGACGGAAGGGTGGGCTTGGGTCTGGGTTTGAGTGTCTGGAGGCTGCAGTGGAGAAAGCCATACCCAGGGCCCATGGAGCACTCTGCTCTTCCCATCCTGTTCTAGGCCCTGACATCTCAGCAGGCCGTCATGTCTGCTGGGGTGTCGAGGTGCCTGGTTGACCGTGGTCCTTCTGGCTTCCCCCACAGTCTCCACGGGAGTACTTAAAAGACCAACCCAGGTCCCTGCCCAAGTTCTCCCCCCCCCCCACTTCTATCAGTGACACCTGGCTTGGAGCCCCAGTCAGGATGTGAAGGGGCAGGGAGTAGAGCGGGGAGTGAAGGCAGCCTAGGGAGGCCAGCAGAAGGCGGGGCGTTAACTACAGTACCACTTTATTAATACTGGTATTCTTCACAGTGCATTTGTTACTTTAGCAGTGACTATTTAAATCAAGGAGAGGATGGAGGGGGGGGGGCGGGAGAATTTATCCAAAACTTGACAGAAAGAAAAGAAGTGGTTTTAATGGGAGGGGAGGATGGGAGGTGGGGAGGAGGGTGAGTAGGAACCAGGAGGGGTGGCAAAATAAATTAAAAAAAAAAAAAAAGAACAAGTTAACAGCACCAGAAAAGTTACTTCAGTCAAAAAGACACATCTGAAAAGAATATTTTGCTGTACAAAAATGAAAAATAAAGTGTATGTGAAGAAGCCCCCAAACCAAAGTCTATATGATGTAGGATGGTTGGCTCGGATCCCAAGGGTGGACCTATGTGAGAGGTGAGGACTAAAGGAAGGTGGCAGTGGGGAGGGGGCACCGTGGGTCGGACAAAGGGATGGAGTATGTACAGCCCTGGAGGGAAGGAGAAGGCTGAAGGTGGGGTGGCCACCCTGACCCCTTCCTGGAAGTCCCTGACCTCCCTTCCCGTCAGGGCTTGGAGCCCCCAGACAGCAGTGAGCCCATCTTCTCAGACCCCCTCCTCTAGGACCCACTCACACCCAGGGTGCAGGGGCCACAGCTACCCACTCAGGTCCTGCGTTCCTTTCCATCAGCCCTGATGGCCCCGTTGGGGAAGGTGCAGCCAAATGCCATCCTGGTTCCACCGGCCACTTGCTTGCCTGGACTCTATACTTAGGGCTCTGGCGACAACCAAGTTTGGTGGGCTAGGTCTCAAACCCTGTAGGTCATTCTCTAGCAGCCTCAGGGGGTCCAGTGACAACTCCATCCACACAGAGACCTACTGGGCTTGTCCTGCTAGGGTACCAGTTCACGGCACCGGAGCACTCATGCCCTTGGGCCCAGGTCAGCTCCAACTGCATTTGCAGACCGCAGCACGTTCTCTGGCCTCCCTGTGGGGTGGGGAGAATGCTGCCCGCTTTACCTGCACCTCCTGAATCTCTCCTCTGGTCCTACACTTAACGTGCTTTGACTTGCTCACTCGGGCTGCACACTTGGGGCAGGCCCCCACTCTTTCTCTGGCCCCTGCTGCCAGCTCCAGCCAGGCCTCCAGGCAAAGACTCTCTTGGGCTGGCGTTGCCTCTGGCAACAGAAAGTCAAAACCAACCTTCTAAGATTTGCCCCAAGTTGGGCCTGCAGCTCACTCTATCACAACAGAATGGCCAGAGGCCCCTGGCCTGCCCTCTCCAGCCTTTTCTACCAACACTCCAGATGCTGTTGAGAAGAGTAGCTTCCCCTGGTTTTGGGAGAGCCGATTTTACCCTTCTCTGGCCATGAGCCCACCACGGGGGCCCCCACATCTGTCTCTCAGGCACTCAAAACACACACCCTGTACCACCAGCTTGCCCCACACATAGTTCTTGTCTGGGGTCAGCTCCATTTTTATTAGTCATAAAATAACCCCCCATACCCTCTAATGCTCCAGCCCTTATTCCCCAGCAATGGGTGAAACTGTAACCCCAGGTGCTCGCAGAGTTAAAGCTTCAAAGCATCCAGACGAGAACAGGACATCTCAAAGACCTGGTGTGGGCCTCTGGACTCAGTCCCCCGCTGCCCTGCCTCACCTCCACTAGCTACTACTCACAGCAGGAGGGGTGCTGGAGGTGCCCTGAGACAAGGCCCCTGCATTACCTCCCGCTAGGCTCTCTCTCCCGTGAGTGGGTCTGGCTTCCCCACACCTGACTGTCCCTAACCCCAGTCACAAACAGATCCTCAGCTGATTGGGTGCCTGGCCCCTCCATGACCACCCTGCCCCCTAATGAGAGGAATCTGGGAGAGGCATGGCAAAGGCAAGAGGAAATGGTACAGGGCCCAGGCAGGGAGAAGAGGGAGCCAGCATTCAAGGGAAGAGCTGGGCATACGGCCCTTGAGGGCAGCGGGGCCAGAGGAACAGAGTTCCGGACCCCAGGCCAGGAGGGGCCCGAGTAGCAGGCCCAGCCCTTGGTTATGGGCTCTGGGGTTTGGAAGAAGCAGGGCCTGTGGGGGGAGGAGGAGGAGTACGGAAGGAAAGTATAAAACAGGCTCTGTCCTGGCGAGGTGTGTGAGGGAAGTCACTTCCTGCAAGATGCCGAGATCCAGCCTGGTTGTCTCTCTATAAAGTGGCCGTGCCTCATTCCCGGCGCTGTTCTGTTTTCTGGCTGCGCTGCTGCTCAGGGTGGCTGGCCGCTGCTCACAGATCAGGCCACCTACTCGTGCCAGGCCCAGACAAGGAGGGGAGGGTGGCACCATCATAAGATGCGGGGCGCCGACCTGTCGTTGGTGACGGTCCTGCGGAGCCGGACCCCGCGCCGAATGGCCACCAGCATGTCTTCGGCTGGGGGGTCACTGGTGGCAGCAGGGGGTGGGGTGGGTGTCTCCTCGGAGGGGGTGGCCGACAGGGCAGTAGGAAAGGGGAACTGGCCCTCGCCCAGGGCGTGCGCGCCGGCCACCAGCTCCCCGAGCTTTTCTACCAGGCTGTGCCTGTTGGCAGCCAGCTGCTGCTCCTCATCGTCCTCAGCGGGCAGCCCAGCCGCAGCCCCGCTGTAGCCAGCTGCCTCCGGGGATGGGCTGCCCCAGGCTGTATTGGGCAGGCTGAGCCTCTTTGGGGAGGCTTTGGCCAGGTCTGGCGCCAGAGGTGAGGCCGCTTCGTCTGTGTAGAAGACACACTCCTCGCTGCCTGCCCGTGTGGGCCCTACATAGCCAGGGGAGTCGGGCACCGTGGGTGTCTTCACGGGGACGATGGGCGGCCGGATGGGGATGGGGCCGGCGCTGGAGAGGGCGCGGCGCACAGTGGGTTTGGTAGAGGGCGTGCGGCGGATGGTGGCCACGCCAGGAGGCGCACCTGAGGGCAGCCCCATGGCCGCGGGCAGCCCCGCCGTGGGCAGCCCCGCGGTGGAGGCTGGGCGCTTGGTCTGGATCAGGCGGCGATAGTTCTGGGCAATGTTGCTGTTTCGAGGAATGGTGGATGATTTGTCGAACTCAGGGGGACCCTCGCTGTCTGCATCCCCGTTCACGGAGTAGCAGTCGTAGTCTGAGCCTGGAGACACAGGGTGTGGTGAGGCCAGGGCCAAGGTGCTCCCTGAGCCCCATACCTCAAGGGAGACCCAGAGGAGGAAGGAAGCCCTCTTCTGTACGGCCCTCATCCCAGCTGTCCCCGGTAGAGGGGGTCCTGGGAAGCACACCCAGCCTGTGGGACCCCTCCAGGCCCACCTTGCGAGGGGATGGTGTCCTCGGAGCACGAAGGCGTGGTGGTCTGTGTGCTGTAGCCGCTGGAGTACTGCAGCGAGTCCCGGCTGCTCTTCTGATGTTCAAGGCTCAGTCCACGAGTCAGTACCATGGCCAGGTCGCTGGCTGCAGGGGACACCTCCTCGCCATGCTGAGGGTGGGGGAAGGTGGTGGACTAAATGCCTCACTCTCCACTTCCACCCTTTCCCAGGCCTCTAGGTGGCTCCATCAAGGTGGACAGAGTGTGCCCTGAAGACCGCCTGCTGGGCCTGGCCGGGGCGCTGTCCACTTACTTTGGCTGCTATGGTGGCGGGGGACATCCGGGGTCGGGGCGCCTCCTCTCCGCTGGAGCCCACAGTGCCTCCACCAGCGGGACCTGGCTCGGCGTCTCGGAGGAGCTCCACGCGATCCTTCCTCCGCTGCAGGGTGGTGGCTGAGGGCTGTTCATGGGGACCGGCCTTGGTCCACTCCTGCGGGGTGTGGCAAGCAAGTCAGGACCTTACTGTCCATGACCTCGGAGGCCCTCCTTTGTGGGTGCAGATCGGTGAGGGGCCTCTGGCTTGCCATCATGGCCATGGCTAGAATCTGGTGGGCAGCAGTGACAGTTCTGTTCCCACCAGCCCAGGGGCGGGGCAGGGTGTGCCAAACAGAAAGGTACAACCTCAGCAAGTGCCTGGTGCCCGCTTCACAAAGACGGGAGCCCGCCCATACAGCCTCCTTGCTGAATCTGGCTGCCCCCGGTGAGGAGGGCATGGGGTGGGCAGCTGGGGCCGGGGGCACTGACCGAGGTGGGGGAGCTGCACTCGCTAACCGACTGGCAGGTTTCTGAGGCCTCGGAGGACGCAGAGCTGGAGGACTTCTGCCATGCAGAGGCGAGCGGGTGGTCGCAGATGGGGGCCCGTGGGCAGACAGGCCAGGGAGGCAGGGAGGAGAAAAGAGTTGTGGTCACAGCGGTGGCATGCAGTGGGCAATCTGAGTTTAGCAGCTCACCCTGGACTCCCCTCCTTGGCCTTAGCCACCATGACCACCACAGAAGGCAGCACCCCAGGACACATCCTACAAGCACTGACCTGTCCATGACCCAAGCCCAAGAGCCACATACTTTAAGGCTTCAACTAAGGATTCCCTAGTGACAGCTTTTGTGTGGTGGCAAAGGAAAGAGTGACATTGAGGACAGAGATAGGTGTTTGGTTTGGGCATCCAGATTGACGGTGTCCCTGTTTTCTCAGAAAAGGCATGGCCTGGGGAGAAGGGACTATACAGTCCCGAGGGCCATCCTGGGAATGTTCAGCCGAGATGCCTGTTAGTTCTCTGTGCACAGCCACATGTA